GCCTCAGTCTTCCCAGAGACGGGGAGGGAGCTGGGGCACCTGTCCGCCAATTCTCCTTCCTTCCTGACGCATTCTCTCACGTGCCTGTGGGCACCAGTGTGCGCCTGGCCAGGACAATGCATGTGCAGGAGAGCAGCCTTTGTTGGGGAGAGGTGATTGTCAGGGAGATAAGGGCGGTGTCCCCTCCTGGGGCCGCCCATTAATTGGTTTTACATGCACAGGAAAGGCCGACACAGGCCCAGGAGACAGGCCTTCCTCTCCCTGGGTGGGGATGCTGAGGCCGCGGGCAGTGCAATGGCGGGGGCCTTTGCCTGTCCAGGCCCGAGTCACTCTTTTCTTCTCATGCTGGGCAACCGTGTTGCCGCACTGCGGGCAGAGCCAGCAGGTATGCACCGACATCCCTGTCTTGGGTTCCACACTCACCTAGACTACATTTCCCAGTCTCCCTTGCAGCGAGGAGGGGGCATGTGACTGATTCCAGCCAATGAGCAGAAGGGATGTGCGCCTCTTCCAGGCTTGGGTCACAAAAACCTCCCACACTCTATCCTTTTTTCTCTCTTCCCCTTTCTGTGGCGACTCTGCGGACCCCTTGTTGCAGATCAGGGAATGGCTTCGAAGGTGTGGAGGGAGACGTCATGAAAATCACTGTGCAATTCATTAGTTGGGGTTGGTGCTAAGAAGGAAAGGTTAAAGGTGACGTGAGCACTCTGCCTGGCTATCCTGGCAGAGGGAACAGCATGGGCAAAGGTCCTGAGGCAGGAAGGCCGAACCTAAAGAAGCCAGAGTGACTGGAGGTCATGAGCAAGGGGGAGTGGCATGAGAGGAGGGTGCATGATCCTGATACGAGATGCATGGGTTTCTTGGGAGGCATTTGATGGGTAAAGGCCAGAGGCTGCCCTGCCCCCACCCCCCCACCCCCCCCCCGGGTTTTAAAGGGGGGGGGGGGACCCGTTTGAAAAACAAAATGGGAGGGGTTTTGAACCTAGAAACGCAGAATCTGTGTGTGTGTGTGTGTGGCTTGTGTAGTTGTGGAGTTCAGTGGTCCCCCCCCCCCAGGGCTGGGGTCCCCTGTCTTGGGGTCAGGGTGCCCTGGTCTGCAGTGGGAGAGGGGTTTTTCTGTCTTCCAGTCACAGCCCAGCTTCACCTGAGAGGATTACCTGGCCTGAATTTGGTGAGTCATGAAATCAGGTGACTCAAACCCTCTCTTGTGTTTTTTTTTTTTTAATCCTCACCCAGGGCCTGGGCCCGGGAGGAGCCTGCAACCGAGATACACCTTGACTGGAATCGAACCCAGGACCCTTCGATCCACAGGCCAACACTCTATCCACTGAGCCAAACCGGCCAGGGCTAGAGTGGCCCCAAGTGGACCAGGCAGTTTCCTCAAGGTGAGCAGTCCCCCCACCCCACCGAACTGCCCTCTCTTGGGCTGGGTTCCGCTCATGTTAGATGACTCCAGTATCAGGGCTCCAGGCTCTTCTGGAGGGCTAGCTTGAGAATCTCACCACATTTTTTGTTAACCCGCAAGTAACTCACTTAAAAATGAACGGTGGGGCCAGAGCTGCTTGTCTGAGCCTCTGGGGCTGCCATTTGCGTGCCCCCCCCCCCCCGCCCCGCCTCGCCCAGAGCAGCGTCCCCTCGGGAAATGCAGCTGACCCAGCTGCATCCGTGGGAAGACCTGGCCCCCACACTTCACCCTGCTGAGGCCACAGGAAATGACCCTCTTAGCAGCCACGAGCTGCGATCCAGAGGACAATGACAGAGGGACAGGGACGGAAGCCCGTTTGTCCCAGTTAACTCGTCCCCTTGGCTGGATGTCCGCTGCTGGAAACATAAAAGTGAAGATTCAGTGGGAAATGATATTTAAAACAAAACAAAACAAAAAACAATCCTGTGGGCGTTAGCCAATTTCGGATGCTCTAAGGGGTTTTGTTTTCTTTATTTGTGTCTGTGTTTAAAACATAGATAAGGCGCAGAGAATCAAAGGATCTAAGGTGTGGAAGGTCAGCCGTCCCACCCAAGCACAGGCCCCGCCGTGGTGTCCGCCTTCGTGTGGTTGGGCCCTGCCTCTGCACGTGGCTGGCTGTTAATCACACCACTTGGCTCTGGCCACTGTCCCACGTACCTCCACTCACCACCTAGAAGCTGGAGAGCTCTCTCTCTCTGTCTTTTTAAAAAATATATTTTTATTGATTTCAGAGAGGAAGGGAGAGGGAGAGAGAGAGAGAGAAACATCAATGATGATGGTGATGAGAATCATTGATCAGCTGCCTCCTGTACACACCCTACTGGGGTTGGAGCCCGCAACCCGGGCATGTGCCCTGACCTGGAATCGAACCGTGACCTCCTGGTTCATAGGTCCATGCTCAACCACTGAGCCACACTGGCCGGGTTGGAGAGCTCTCCTCAAACCCAAATCCGGTCCCGGGTTCTGGAGCTCTGCAGGCTGGCTCTGTCATTCTTCAGGTCTCAGCTCAAATGCCACTTCTGCGAAGAAGCTTCCAGACCACTCTCTAGGGAACAGCACCTCTCAATATTTAAAACGTTCGCTCTTAAAGCACTCAACACACTTCACCAACATCTAAAATGGTCTGTTCACCATGCCCGGTGCATAGTAGGTGCTCAATACATGTTTGGTGAATATTTTTCAGGGGTTGTTGCATTCAGAACAGAGTTGGATCAGAGATTCCAATTTCATTGCATTTCAATAAACATGATTGGCTACAAACGGGGCACCAGGGCCGGGAGGCAAATTGATCAGGAATTCCACTAATTCATTCATTGATTCATTTGGAGGGTAGAGCCCTGAATGGATAGTGACTCAGTCTAGGAGTGCAGAGACCCAAGGAAGCTTCCAGGGCGGGGAGAAGATTTGAGGTGGGTTTTCTGTCACGGAGAAGCCAGATGGGGTCGGTGGGGTGGGGGGACTGCTCACCTTGAGGAAACTGCCTGAGCAAAGGTTTGAACGTGGGTGTGAACGCCTTTGGAAAAGGAGGAGACTGTGGTGTGTGGAATTCAATGGATTCCCACGGTGGGCCCTCAGGGAAGGCCGAGCTGGTGGCTTTATCTGGGGCTGCAGGGAGGACACTCCGCCTCGGTTACACTGCAGCGATGAAAGGCTGGAGGGGATGCCTGAGGGGTTGGGGGGTGAAGCTGCTCTGTTGCCCTGGAGGCCTTGAACTCCCGGCTAAGGAGTCCGGATTTCACCTGTCGGTAACAGAGTCTAATAAAACCAACGAAGAGCCCGGATGTCATTGACTTCTGAACTCCAGTTCCCTGGTGATGCAGACCAGCCCAGGATGCTTCTGGAAAATACGGTGGCTTGGGCCCCGTCCTGGAAGAGTCTGCGTTGCAGCTGGGCCTGGCCATCTGCCTTCTCACACGTTCTCCTTCGCCAGGTCTGGTGACCAGGGAGGCTCCGAGAGGTGAAGGCCTTTGCCCAAGGTCAGAGCCAGACAGCTGCGAAGGGGCATGCGGACCAGGTCTGCCCGGTTTGCCCGCTTCCTCTGCAGCCTCCCTCTGGCTGCGGCTTTATTTTCCCCCGGAGGCAAGACTCTCAGCGTGGCTGGGGCTGCCCCCCTTGTCCTCCCTTCCCCTCCCCCTCCCCAGTCGGAAAGGTCAGGTACGTCCCAGCCTTCCGCGGGCATGTCCATTTATGGCTGTGTTGTTCCAGAATGTGGCCAAATTTATAAACTCCGCTTTCCCGGAGACACGAAGCCATCTGTGCAGAGTGCAGCGCGGGGGCAGAGCTGGGAGCTTCGTCGGAGGCCTGGACCTCAGCCCAGGCCTGGGCCCCATGAGCCCTGGCGTTGGATGGGTCTCCCGCCCCGCCCTGCGCCTCAGTTTCCCCACCTACAGAGCAAAGACACTGGTCTACAGATCATTCCTTATGTCCTCCCCAAGTCTAGACACATGCAGTTTACTGCTTACAAATGGCAGTTCTTTAACCAGGGGCCCCATGCCGGTGCTGGGGGATGGGCTGCAGCCTCTCTTGCATGACTTCCTTTTTTTGTTTCTTTTTTTCCGCTCGATTTTTTTTTTAATTAAAAAAATTACCCCAAGACTCACCATTCACTGTAAAGTAATAGGCGCTCTTTCCAGTCCCCCATTCCTACTTTCCTCCCCAAAAGGGTGGCTATTGGGTCCCCAGGGAAGTGTGAGTGGGGCTGTCAAGATGGATTCTTTGCATATATGAGTATTCATGTTCATACAGGTTTTATTTCACTTATTTTGTAAAAAAAAAAAATATTTTTATTGACTTCAGAGAGGAAGGGGGGGGAGAGAGAGAGAGAGAGAGAGAGAGAGAGAGAGAGAGAGAAACATCAGTGAGGAGAGGGAATCATTGATCGGCTGCCTCCTGCACGCCCCACACTGGGGGTCGAGTCTGCAACCCGGGCGTGTGCCCTGACCGGGAATCGAACCGTGACCTCCTGGTTCATGGGTTGATGCTCAACCTCCGGGCCACGCCGGCCGGGTAAGAATCATTTCTTTCCCTCACGTACAAGAAGTCTAGGGATGAGCAGGTGAGCAGTCCAGGGCTGACAGCCCCATGGAGTAGTTAGGGATCTAGTTCCCGTCTCTTCCAACCTTAGTGCGTGGCCTTGGTCCTCTGTCCAGCAGGGCAGCCAGAGATCCAGACATCACATCTGGAGTCAGAGAGCAAAAGACGGAGGACGAGGGGACAAGGGGGCAAAGACCATGAACGGCCTTTAGAAGGTCTCCCCTTCTGTCACCTGACCGTTCCCCTTAGGTCTCCTTGACCAGAACTTTAGCAAGTGGCTACGCTGGCTGCAAGAGGGGGGAGAGGGGAACAGCTTTTGTCTGTTACAGCCCCAAGTAACTACTATTCGGGCTCTTCACCATAGATTTATGTCCCTTGTTCTAGAACTTTATACAAACATCACCACGCAGAACAGTCTCTTGTGTCTGGCTTTATTTGGTTCAACATTATGTTCATAAATTCCTGAGGTTTTTTTCTTTTTCTTTTATCTCCCTCCATCCAGCAGGAGCCATTCACCAACACTCCGTCTTTGCTGATTTCCTTTCATCATGGAGTCACTCATTCAACAAATATTTCTCGAGCCCCTATTGTGCGGGGAGAGCTGACCTCACACAGCCGCCCATGGCAAAGACGGATGCATTCTGAGTCTCCCAGGCTCTTCCCTGAACCCCAAACCCTTTGACAACAGCCCTCTTCTGAACTCCCCCTGCACCAGGTAGGATCCCTTGTATAATGAGGCCACATGCCCAGTGATGAGGAGCTCTGGCTCTGGCATCCACAGATGGGCTCTTAGTAGATGCTTAATAAACAGCGACTGTGGCCCGGCCAGCGTGGCTCAGTGGCTGAGCATCGACCTATGAACCGGGAGGTCACGGTTCGATTCCCGGTCAGGGCACATGCCCCGGGCTGGGGGCTCGATCCCCAGTGTGGGGTGTGTAGGAGACAGCTGATCAATGATTCTCTCCCATCATGGATGTTTCTATCTCTCTCTCCCTCTTCCTTCCTCCCTGAAATCAATAAAAAATATATTTAAAAAAACCAACAAAACAGTGACTGTGACTACTTCATTGGCGTGGGAGCATCGTAAGGAGCAGAGCCCGCTTTTCGAATCCTTCGCTGGCCGTCTAAGGTAGTACCATTATAATCTGCATTGACTAATGAGGAAAGGATGCTCAGAGAGGTAAGGTAACTCTCCAGAGGTTGCACAGCAGGCGAGTGGCTGAGGCTCGGGATTCAAACCTCGTCCTCTTGAGTATCGAGTTTGAACTTTCATCTCGGCTCTGTGGAGTCAGCTCACTCGCCCTTGCCTTTCCTTAAGCCTTGACCCACTCAAGGAAGAGCCCAGAACCGCCAGGGACAAAGGCCGTACACTTTGCCATTTCTAGTTGTCTTTCTCCCACTTTGCGATCTAACCCAAGAGGTTTTCCTGGCTCTGGATCTTGTCTGTTTCAACTTAAAATGATGGCCCTAACCGGTGTGGCTCAGTGGATAGAGTGTCGGCCTGCGGACTGAAGGGTCCTGGGTTCGATTCCCGCCAAGGGCATGTACCTTGGTTGCGGGCACATCCCCAGTAGCGGGTGTGCAGGAGGCAGTGGATGGATGTTTCTCTGTCATTTTCCTAAATGATGGGCATGAGATTACACATCTGGGCCAGTTGTTACCAGCGCCCTGACTCACCCAGCTCATTCCTGTGAGTGAATGAGCCTTTTATTCTAACTGCTGGCTTTTCAAGGGCCCATACATCTGTTTTTCTGGCCACGAGAAATCTATTAGAGACGGGGGAAATGTGGTTCAAAGAAATAGTTAAGTTTTCTTCATGGAAGCAAATTTTCCAGGGAAGAAAACACGTGGACCTTCTGATATAATGGAGTGACTTTCAAAAATATTTGTTTCAGCACATGAACCCTTTTTCAGAGGCTGCTGAAGCGACAGCTCAGTGTACAGACGGTAAAAGTGGAACTTCTGGTCCTTAGCCAGTTTGGCTCAGTGGATAGAGCGACGGCCCCGTGGACTGAAGGGTCCCGGGTTCGATTCCGGTCCAGGGCACGTGCCGGTTGCAGCCGCATTGGGGAGGCAACCAATTGATGTGTCTCTCTCACGTCAATGTTTCTCTCCGTCTCCCCTCCCTCCTTTCCACTCTCTCTAAACATCAGTGGAAAAAAATATCCTGGGGGAAGGATTAACAAAACAAAACAAAAAAAGTAGGAGGAGGAGGAGTGGGGTTGCCGCGTGAAGCCACCCACTTCCCTCTGAAATCTGCCACGGGCTGTGGAACCCAGTTTGAGGACCTCTGCCTGTGGAACCCAGTTTGAGAACCTCTGCCTGTGGAACCCAGTTTGAGAACCTCTGCTGGCGCCCTGACCCAGGGATCGGCACCGGGGCCTGAGCCCAGCGCCGTCCTTTCCTGGTGGGAGGCCCTGGGAAAGGGAACGGACTTCTCTGGGAAAAGGCACGATTGTCCTAAATATTTCCGAAACCTTGTTCCAGGTCTGAGAATCTGTGTGACTGAGGACCATTCAGTCTGAAGTGAACGGTTAGAAATACAGACTTTTTGAAAAAAGAAACAGTTCTCTTGTTTGAGGAGACCCAGTAACCAGCGAACTGCTATCAAAGTGTGTTCCAGCCACCCGGTCACTGGTCACGCTTCGCAAGGGCCTCCGGGGACCCCTCGCACGGACTCCGGCCGGGCCACTGCTCTCCGGTCCCCTCCTCAATCCCAGCATCACAGTCCCAGCAGGAACGAGATGAGACGCGCACACGATTTTCTGGAAGGACTTTGGCAAAGGGACTGTGGACGGGTGTGAGAGCAGGGGCCGACCAGGGAGGTGGCACCCGGAAGCAGACCATCCACGGTCTCAAGGGGGTGGGGCCACGTGAACAGTCGGGTGTGGGCACGTGAACAAGGGGGCGGTACCACGTGGACAACCGGAAATGAGCACGTGAACTAGGGAGCGTGAGCACGTGGACAAGCGGAAGTGAGCACTTAACAAGGGGGCAGGGCACGTGAGCAAGGGGGTGGGGCCACATGGACAACCAGAAGTGAGCACGTAACAAGGGGGCGTGAGCATGTGAACAAGGGCGGGACCACGTGGACAACCGGAAGTGAGCACATGAACAAGGGGCTCGGAGCACGTGGACAAGGGGGTGGAGCCACGTGGACAACCGGAAGTGAGCACGTAACAAGGGTGGGGGCCACATGGACAACTAGAAATGAGGCACGTGGACAAGGGGGTGGGGCACGTGGACAAGGGGGTGGGGCCACGTGGGCAACCGGAAGTGAGCACGTAACAAGGGTGCGGGCCACATGGACAACCAGAAATGAGCACATGAACAAGGGGGCAGGGCACGTGGACAAGGGGGTGGAGCCACGTGGACAACCGTAAGTGAGCACGTAACAAGGGGGCAGGGCCACGTGATCACGGGAGAGTGGGCATGTGAGGACGGAGGAGGGGCCATGTACAGATTGAAATGATGCGGCCAGGAGCCCCCAGAAGCCAGAGGCAGGGAAGACCCTCCTCCGCAGCCCTTCAAGGACGCGCAGCCCCGGACACCCTGATTTCAGGCTCCGGCCCCAGAACGGGGAGACCGCGTGTCCCTGTTGGTTGAGGCCAGTCTGTAGTTATCGGAGCAGCAGCCTCAGGAAATAGACCCCTCCTTGCCCCTCCTTTTGGGGCTTTGACCGGGTTCTGGGAACAGCTGAGCCCTGTGCCCCGGCAGGGGAGCCCCGAGACCTCACACTGCGGGGCTCACAGGGAGGTCATCCCTGTGTCTGTGCCTTAACCTGAAACAAATGGGAACCACCTGCTTGGGGAGGTGGTGCGTGTTGGGACCAGAGTCCCTTCCCCCTGCAGCTCCGCCCCGGGAGACAAGACGGGGGAGACGGGGAGACGGGGTTGGGGTCGGTCCTGGCGGCGGGAGGGGGCAGCCGGGAGGGAGGGGAGCCCGGGAGGCCGGGGGCTGACAGTCACTAACTGGTAGGAAGGGCTCCCCTATTTTCAGAACCGTGCGTTCATGCCAGTGTGGCTGGGCCAACACATTCAACTTTCGTAGCAAGAAGTCAGTCTGTACAAACAAAAATGAAAATATGTCCTTGGAAAAAATCATGACTTCAACCTTTAATGTTCTCACAGTTGTTGTTTTTTTTAATCTTGAAGGGATATTTTAGGGGAAGTATCTCTTGTCTAGAGGAAATATTTAAATGAATTCAGCAATTCCATCAACTTTTCTTTCTTTTTCTTTTGTGAAATTCAAGTAAAATTAAATTGTATCTGAAATATGATTGTCATGGTTTTATAAAAGTATCTCTACCCATCTGTTCATTACCCAGGCTTCTCTTTTTGTATTTGCATATTAAGTTGTCCAAAATGATGTTCACCAAATGTGATTGGTTATTCTGGCTGGTGGGTTGGAGTTGTTTTTTTTACTTCCATCTTTGGGATTTCAACGTGTAAAAAACAAACAAATAAATAAAAATAAAAGTGTTTTCCAAGTAGAAGTGCTGTGGCCCTTCCTGCAGGAATGGATAGAAAATGACCAATAGTTTCATTTGCTTCATTATCAGAAAATAGGTTAAGTCAAATCACTATGCTGTACGCCTTGAACTGGTACAGGGCTCTCTGTCAATTATCTCAACAAAATTGGGAAAAATAGCTCTGACCAGTTTGGCTCAGTGGATAGAGCGTCGGCCTGTGGACTCAAGCGTCCCAGGTTCGATTCTGGTCAAGGGCATGTACCTTGGTTGCAGGCACATCCCAAGTAGGAGGTGTGCAAAAGGCAGCTGATCGATGTTTCTCTCTCATCGATGTTTCTAGCTCCCTATCCCTCTTCCTTCCTCTCTGTAAAAAATCAATAAAATATATTTTTTTAAAAATGGGAAAAATATTAAAATCTAAAAAAAAAAATTACCCAAGAAATATCACTCCATAAATCAATGCAAAATGAATGCATCAGTAACCCTCCCATCATGCTCAGTATATGAAACATAGTAATGAGAAGTACTTGTTAATGAAAAAAACTGAACATTGCTATTGACTGTTTCTATATTTTTATTTATTTATTTAAATATATGTTTTGCCCTAGCCGGTTTGGCTCAGTGGATGGAGCATCGGCCTGCAGACTGAAAGGTCCCAGGTTCGATCCCAGTCAAGGGCATGTACCTGGGTTGCGGGCACATCCCCAGTAGGAGGTGTGCAGGAGGCAGCTGGTCAATGTTTCTCTCTCATCGATGTTTCTAACTCTCTATCCCTCTCCCGTCCTCTCTGTAAAAAATCAATAAAATATATATTTAAAAAAATAAATATATGTTTTATTGATTTCAGAGAGGAAGGGAGAAGGAGAGAGAGAGAAACATCAATGATGAGAGAGAATCATGGATTGGCTGCCTCCTGCACTCCCCACCCTGGGGATTGAGCCCCCAACCTGGGCATGTGCCCTGACTGGGAATCAAACTGTGACCTTCTGGTTCATAGGTCAACGCTCAACCACTGAGCCACGCCAGCCGGGCTGTTTTTAAAAAATCAGACACACACATACCGCTAGAATGACAAGCTGTTCCACTTCGCTCAGCTGAGGGGTTTCTTGGGACACGGGACTTTCAGCAGTACAACCAGGCAAGTCCCGGGCACGTGGGCATGAATGGGTCCCCCATCCATTCACACAGCAGTTATTACGTGCCAGACCCCGATACCAATATTTTTCACATACTCTCTTTTAATCTGCATCACCACCTTATAAGGCAGGTACTGTTATGATCTTCATCTCACAGATTCTCAGGGAAACGAACGCTCAGAGAGGTTAAGTGGCTTTTCCAAGGGCATTTGAAAAAGCTGGCTGGAGGCAGCGCCAAATGAAAAT